AATTTGCGAACACGTGTAGTCGCACATTATCAAGCTTTGCTGCTATTTTTCTATTGTTCCTTAATATTTCGTAATGTATTTAAAACCTAGACAGTGACATTTTCTAGGAATCAACTAGTTCATGTTCAACTTCCATTCGGGATTGTTGTCAAAAATTAATGTGCCGTTCTAAGAGTTTTGTACCAAACTTAGAATAATTTTATTGCTTTAACAACTTTTTGGTCAATTGAATATTTACAAAGCATAGTGAATATGTGAACTTGACATTTATGTTAAAATTCTATTAAGTTCAATTATGATTCCCTCATTTAATGAAACTTTTACAACCTTATGCTCCACATCAGCTTCACAATTCTAGATATGTTGATATGTAGAATATTTCGATTCGCTTACTTACCTTCAATTTCCCTCTCACTTCTCTTGTTTGTATCTTTTGAACTGTATTTCAGATGAAATAAATTCAATTGGAATGAAAGAACATATCCTTCGACATTTAACCAAATAAGATTGAGTAAGAAGAAGCAATGAATTTGAATTTTCCAATTCGCATGCATAATTTTTTTCCGCAACTCTCATCTTTCTTTCTTCTTGAACTGTATTCATGTTTGCAGAGCTTATTTCCTTGAATTGTCTCTCAACATTTTTTTTCTCATACTAACCGTAATCTCAATAATCCCTTCAATGATTGGATTTCGTGATGCACATTTGCTTGCTTTTATCCTTTAATGGCTTCGATATTTGCTTATTGGTATTTTTTTTTGATTCAAAATTTTGTGATTTCATTTTATTTATTTTGAACTTATGACTTCTTTATCGTTTGTGAATACTATTGTCCAAGCTAGTCCAATCAAGGATTATTGGTATTTACTGAAGTGTTATCAATTGAGATTTTAAGAACATAGTTCAATATTCAAGCAAACAATTCAGTTTAAAATGACTTTAAAGTAATCTCATTTCAAATGTGTACCTTGTCAAGTTTGGTAGACCTTTTGTAGTATTTTATCAAATAAACTGTCCACAAAGTCTGTTGAAATGAATTGTATTATGTCATTCAAATGTTTAAAAATTCTTTTTCCTTCATCCCATTGAACCGTAACTGAATCACATTAGTTTACTCACTCATTTCATCCAAATACACAAGAGAATCTCATTCCTTCGAGTCATTCTTATTATATTTCCCTCACATATATGAGAATATTGAATTTGAAGGACAAAGAAAAAGCGAAGAAGATGAAAATCCACAATTGAATAGACAAACAATATCAAATGTGAGTGTACACAATCATGTCGTTGTGCTTCTTCCATCAACACATAATGGAATGAGGAGAAGAGAAAAAAAAATTACACAAATCATTGTTGACAAATTTAATGGAATAGATGATTGGAATGAATTTTTTCTTGATCTTTTTGTATTATTTATCAGTCAGAAGGGAAGTTGAAACTGTTTTCTATCCAATTGGATAACTTGAGAATTATTGAATCTTGTTTGTCCACAATAACAGCAATTGAAGGAATAGAAGAATCATACATTTGTTATAAAAGGAAAACAATATGAGAATTATAAGAACTGATATTTGTGGATATGGCTCGTAGAGCATCTGTAGTAGATAGGTCTGGGTATAGGGCTCGCGTTGAACTTGTTATATGTGTATAACGAATAGCCGAAGTAAGATAAGTACCTTGTTGACCGATTGGCAGAGATCTCTGATCGAGTGGGCAGAGATCGAATCTTTATAGGTCGTGGGTTCAATTCCCATCGATCCCGACTTGTTTTACATTAGTATAAACATAAAGCAGTCATAGGGAAATCTACAATATGAAACCCAGTTCTGCTCAAACCTCAAGTTCCATCAAATTGCTTTCCAGTGTTTGCAAATCGTAAAATCAATATTTGAAAATATAATTAAATTATTCCACAAACATAGATTCCAAATTGTCTATTTGGATACATAAATTTAATTAAATTTTAATTTCGACAATTAAATTGGATCATAAATTAGAATAAATTGAACATTTTTTTCATTCCACATTCGATAATGAATTTATTCATCTCAATTTATGTAATCATAGATAATCAGATAAATCTAGTTTGTTGATTCTAATGACCATGATGGTTGGCAAAACATAAAATCTGATTATTACAATGTTGTTTCATTGAAACTTGATAATCTTGTTGAAATATTGAATATTTTTGAAATGTCCTGTTATTTTTATAAGAAACAAAAATAACATCAAAAGCATTCGAATTTTGTTACACATGCTCAAGTTTATATCCATTTATGTCTTTAAGGGGCTTGATATATCCTTTCCTTCTTTCTTGGAATTCCTTTCATATATGCACAACAGCAAGAGCACAAACATATAAAAAATATATGAAATCTAATAAAAACCGACTAAAGGATTGAAAGCTTCCGAGCGTTTGTAAACAAAATAAGTGTAAAACGAAGATTGAGAATAGGCATTCCGGGTAGTGAAAGCATCAACAACAACGAAAAGCATTCTATCATACCGAACTCAATTTGTGTACTGTGATCATCTCATGAGAGATATAGACAGAAACGGAAAGGAAAGTTTATTATGCCTGTTTATCAAAATAAGAAATAAAAGAGATACAAACAGCACAACAAACGAGTAACAATAGATAAAGTAACTTACTGTCACTTACAGACGCTCTTCAATCTGATGTAAAGGTTGTTGACATAGAAAAGAGATATTGAGTGGAACTGACTTGTTCATAAATTTACAAAAATTTTCCTTGCATTTTTTAATGCAGCATAAATTATCATAAAGTTTAAATCACGCTTATGTGTCATTAAATGCTTGTTTTAAATTACAGTAAACTGTAAATCAAATAGTTTCATAAATCATGTCACTAAGTAGAACACAAAACTTGACATATAACAAGTCAGACAGGCAAAATGATAAAATATCTTGGAATTTTCTTCAATTTCACAAAAAAATGTATTTTCTTGTTGTATGCAAATCTTCATCGTTTGTGATTTCCCTATGAGATGTAAGTCTACATAAAAAGGAATGAAAAAGAGACAATTGATTTTGAGTGACTAATGCGCATTTCTGTTGTCAATTTGAATCCCCCAAAAGCTCTTAAATATTCTCAACATTCTTATTTCAAAAATAACGAGTGGGTTGACCTGAAAATAAATCCCCAGCTGCGCCTCTGATGGTTAGCAATAATTTAAAACCAACATACCTTCAATCATGTATATCTGAATTTGAGAACATGCTGATGTATTGAAAGCTTAGTAATGATTCTGCATAAAAAAGAAAATTTTATGTTTTTGAAATTTTTCAAAGAAATTTTGACTTAAATTTTAATCTCATTGATGTTTGGATAAACATATTTAACAGGGAGTAGCCTCCTTCCTCCCATGAAATGAATGTTGACTACACCCGAATGCCTTAAATTGATGGAAAAAAATAATCATGCTGTTCTTATTGCTTGCATGCTGTTCACTTATTACGTAACGCGAAAAAATGACTTCTTAGACCCCCCCCCCTCGTAACAAAATTTGTATGAAAAAAAAATTTCCTTGTTTGAACCGTAACAAAATCTTAGACCCCCCCCCCCCTCCCCCTAAAAGCGTTACGTAATAAGTGAATGGCCCCTTATGACTGAACTTGAAAATGCTGTATTTAACACATGAATATTCCGCTAATCATCGTCTCTTATAAATAAAATCAGCATAACATGCTACACAAGAACAATCAGATACATTAAACATTTTTCTTGATTGACTAAGCACAAGAAGCAGCAGAAAGAAAAAGTTTGGTTTTTAAAGCCGACATTAATCTTAACTCATTCGAACCCGCCCTTTCAGAAATGAAACTTTCCACCATAGCTGCTAATTCACTTGAATGATTAATGCTTATATCATAAGCTCTTTTCCATTCTCATTCAGCTTTTTTTTTCCTTCATTGAAAGCAGAATCGATGAAGAAAATTGGAAAAATTTCCATATTCATTCGACACATGAATCTTCTCATAATGTATACGCACACAATATTCGATTTTGGAAATGAGATCGAAAATACTGCGAAGAAGGCAAAACATGAAAAAAATTTGTATGCGAGTAATGTATTCGATTTATGCATGAGATGCCGTGTGACACAATATTTGAATTGCCTCTGCGCCAATGCTCTTCCGCAATGATAGTTCATTAGATTCACATTTGTATATTTTCGGTTGTTTCCTGTTTCATTGGAAATTACTTATTTTGTGCGTGTGGATGTTTATTCATAAATTGCCTTACTTATTATTGATGTCATACAATGTGGTTTACATTCATGCAGGATATATCGATGCTTTACTTACGCATTTAAATGAGAGTCAGATCGTAAAGTGTGGAGTAGAATTTGATGATTCTGATGAGAAATTGAGACGCAATTTGAGGAAGTAGGTTTTTATAGCATCATATAAAATTTCAGAATTGAAGGAATCAATGATGTAGCTGGGGATACAAGAATTCAGAGGCTGCCAAGTTTCTAGAGCTAGCCTGCCTTAGAATTCAAACTTTAGGATATAAATTAAAATGTGTGACTAAAGCAGGTACCCTAGATGTCTGTAACAACAGAATCATAATCACGCAACTGTTAGAAACTGACACAAACTAGAACAAAGACAAAACGACAAGAATTCTCATGAAATTTTCATATGATGAAAATGATGATGACTTTAATGTCATAGCGACAATATGTAGGAATGATCAATGAATGTCTGTATACATTTCAAAATAAATTGTACAGGATGTTAACAGACTGAATGAGGTTTTATAAACACTGATAAATATCATATAATATTATTACTATTGTGGTTTTATTGAGGCATTATGTCAAATGCAAATATTATTTAATAGCTCTATATACATCCCAAGAGACATGCTGTATAGCTTATGGAAAAACTAATGATAAATTAATTCAAAAACATGAGAAAATTTAATTGCTTAATTTTCCTTTTTCTTGTTTATTGTCTTATTTTAATAGGAGCTGTTGGTGGTGATGAAAATAATGATGACGATAAGGAGAAAGCAGAAGAAGAGGAGAGAGAACGACAAGAAGCAATTCGGGAAGCTGAAGACCGCCGAAAAGAGAAGCATCGTAAAATGGAAGAAGAACGTGAAAAAATGCGTCAGGAGATAAGAGACAAAGTAAGTACAGGGCAAATATATCGATGTACATGGGAATAGCATTTATGTACAAACGTGGGCTTGCGTTAATGAACCATTTATTTTCATCTTCATATATTCTCTTATTTTACTTTATTTTATGGCTCACATTTTTCTCCATCTCATAACTCATTGCCAAAAAATACAAATGAATCTCTCATTCTTTAGTGAATGTAATAAAAAAGTATTTTTTATCATCAGTATATGGCTCATTTTACTTGCTTCATAATGAAATGAAATTTTTCTGCATCAACTATATTATTTTGGGGGTCTAATGTTAAGCATACTATCCTTTAGAATTTACTGCAGATTTTTCATGTGCCATTACTTCTCATTATATTATCAAGAGCCTCAAAAAATAAGGTTTTTAAAGATTTGACTCAAGAAAGATAGCAAAGGAACCGCTATTACAAAAGTAAAGAAAAGAAAATTATTAAACTGCAAAAAATTATCGTAAAGAAATCTTTTTACTGTCTTCGTGGTAAATGCTTGTGGTAGGAGGGACGGAGATTTCAATTTAGTTCTCTTACTTTGCCTTACTCATTTTATTGCCGCTTGAGCAATATGAAGTTTTGTTGTGCAAAATCGCCCTAAATTTAATGGCTCAATTTTTATCGCTTGTGATAAGCTAAACCAGGATTTTTTTTCTGCATACAAATGAAGCCAGATGTGGTCATACAATTTTCTACAAAATTCTTGTACTTTATGCTGATGTTATGGCTTGATTCAGTTTATAAAGCTGTGAAAGGTTTAAAACAATTCCATTGTATGTGCTGCCCTTTTTCTGACAAATATTTTTAATTCGTAGCACAAAGCAAAACAATTTAGCAAAAATGACAAGCACAGTAATAGCATTAAATTTTATTCACGGACGTTTTCCATTTAACATGAGTTTTAGACAATTTTAAGTCGAGGCAGGAGTACACATGGGCATAGCTAAGAGGGAACGGGGTGTATTTTAATGAAGAAAATGGACGACTTTTATCAAAAAACGCAAAAAATTCGTCCATTCGAAGAATCTTCTAGCTTCATCCATGAGTTAAGCATGGAAAATTATAAATCAAGAAAAAAATCATGAGGGATAAGCTAAAAATGATGGTAAAAAATGTAATTTTATTTCGAAACAGCTTCCATCGATCAAGTACAGACATGCTTCCCCATTTTCATTTTCTTACGTAACATTTTTCCATTTTTCCACATTCTCATTCCACACACTCAAACGCTAGAAATATGAATTATTTTCATTCATTCATGGATAGACATGTCACACAGAAATATTATCAAGTTGCGTAATAGTTGATTCATTAAAATTCAACTCTTCATTCTTTCAAGTCACTTCTTGGCTTTTTTTGGAGCATGTGTTTTTATCTTTTATATCAGGGATGTACGTATTTAAATAGTTTCCGTTTTTTTTTAAAAAATCAAAATATGTTCCTGATTTTTTGGGCCGTTCACTTATGACGTCCAACATTTAGGGGGGGGGGGGTTCTAGAATTTTGTGACAGCTCAAATAATGTTAATTTTTTAACAGAGAGGGGGGGAGGGGGGTCTAAAATTCATTTTTTTTATAGACGTCATAATTGAACGGCCCCTTTCCGTATTAAAGATAGTGTTAGTGTCTCAAACTACTTCATTTCCATAAAAACCATCAAAAACACATCAGTCTGAAAATAATAACATTCAAGACATAGATGTGCATAGAAGCTCCAAAAGTTAGCATCTCACATAATGCCTGAAGCCTTTTAATATTTCACACCATAGTGGCACCATCTGAACATATACAGAATAATTTTTCACACATCTAACAGCATATATGTGTGTATTGTGTATCAGCGATAAATGAAAATTGACGTGCCAAATACATTTTTTTCTAGATAATCATTATTGCTGGGATGTTTGCCTCCATATGTATGTGAAAATAGGAATCAATATTGAAACATAGTTACAAGAAAGACATACAAACGCATTAAATATTCATTGCGAAATTGACAAGCTTCGAAATGGAAATTTCAATAATACCTAAAGTCAGCCGTAAAACCCATTCAATATTATGCTTTACTTCCGTCCGCACTCACATGACAAAAAAAAATATTTTTTATATAAAAATGGATTAAAACTTCAGTTTCATATGTCAAATGGTCGATATGGTGTGTAGCTTGATATATTTGTGTATAAAAATAAATTGTAGAGGAAGAGGATGAAAATGTTCCATAGTCATTGTCTTTTCCCTACCATTATGTGCCATTTTGTGCGTTCTGAGTCTTCTTCCACGTTCTCCTGACAGCTTTTCATTGTCACGTAGTGATTATTGATCGCCATTTTGCATTGTCATACTTGCTTCGTACGATGCTTTTATCATTCCAAATTTCTTCCTCGTTTTTATGTTTGACTTTACATCTTCAATAAAACGTGAAATAATTATTTAATTAATTTAATTAACGTTTATAATGAATAAGAAATTCTTATTCAATTATCGTATTTTATTGTATTAGTGTCATTATGTATCATCATGTAGCATATGGATATGAATATTTCATAAAGGAGTAGACTTCCTTCAATCAAGATTATTATTTACTAACAATTGGTTCGAAAAATATAAATAATAAATTTATTAAAGCCGAATTTACCACAAAATAACTTTTATAGCCTTTTTAACCAAACATTTTTAATCCCCACAGTTGGTTTAGTGGGATGAGTGTTAAGTTCTATAAGGGTTTGAACATACTATGGCGCCTGTCGTGTGTTCAAATCCTTGTAGAACTTTCATCTCAGGATAACTATGATAATGAAGAAAATAGTTGATTATGAAATGGCCAATAACATGAAATTAAATTGTACCCTTCACACTGTACGAATCCAGAATGTCATTCGTCATCCTTTTTACACGATTCTATTTTCTTCATAAAAAATTCTATTAAAAACTAGAAACTTTCTCTTGTGAAGTATATAATTTCATATAAAAAACTGATTAAAAATCAAATTATTTTCTTATTCAGGTTCGAATCTCAATTAAAAAGTAATTTTGCCAACTTATTCAAGGATTTTAAATTTTCTCATTGGAATGGAAAGAAAGAATTTCATTAATTCTAATTGAAATATTTTCAAAACTCACAAATAATATACAAAATTCGTAATATCGAAACGTTTCCGTTATAGTCAAATAATATATTAAGTCTTCATTATAAATTTCCTCGAGCACATTAAGAATTTCCAAAAATAAGGGGACAGAAAAATAAGTAAAGTATGAATGAATGAACATTTCCTGTGTACGAAAATAAAAAACAATGAGAAAACTTTTTTAATGAAAAAAGTCTCGCGATTTCACAATTTCTTGTTGAAAAAAATATGAATATACAAAAAAAACATGTCAGAAGTTATTTGTTAGCTAGAAATACGAAATTCAAGTGATATGATACATGACAAAGGAAATTAAATTTCATTTTCTTTGAATTATTTGTGCTATAAAAAGTTAAATATGTCATTTCAATTTATTAAACATTTCTTCATATTTTTTTCTTATAATTTTCAAATTATAAATTAAGGTAAAGTTTCATCACCTATAAGACAGTGCTGTCTTAAATTAAATTTATTCCTTACTCTCCCTTAATTATTGTCATCATGAAAATGAAATCTGATACAAATGTTAAGAACAGAAATATTCTTAAATGTTTCAGAAGCACTTGCTACAGGCTTTACTATATTTGACTTCCTACCCCTCAGCAACGACACTTTGATAAAAAGTTTCAAATTTTTTTATTTTTAATTGTGTAAAAAGCAGGAAATGTAATAAAGTTTTGATGTTGTCTGGATGATTTAAAAGCAAGTGTAATGAAAAGATTCAAAAACAGGATCGGTGACGTTTTCAGGTTTTTTTAAAATCAAGTTCCTCCATTGTCTCCTCCTTGTTCCATGTAATGCTGTCTTCCATTTTTAAGGAACTTACAAAACCCGAATAGCACAAGTCGGTTGATCGAATAGAAATGTTGCACCAATGCTGAATTCGATTTAAGCCCAGCACCATGCTAGAGTCATGACAGCTTGAATAACCGACATGTGCTATTCGGGAAACAATCATTGACAAAAAAATTATCATTTTAGTTTATAATATAATACATTTCAAGACTTTCCTTCTTTTAAATGTTACTAAGCATTCATAACCTCCATAACTAGGTCAAAACCATTGTCAAATATAGCACTGATACCAAAAAGATAACCACATGAACATACAGATATAAAATACGCGACAGACAGTCTCCAAAAGTAAATAAAAGCCAAACTTCTCAAAACAGAAGCAATGTAATGATAAAATATGGATATAAAAAGAAAGTAAGGCTCCACAAGTCTTCAAGGACATGATTTCACTAAAAAGTTCAGTTATCGTATTTGTTTGATTCAACCCAGTTATATTTTTCCTGTATGCCTTTGTTTTGATGCAAGTTTTTCATCAAAGATATAAAAATCTGCAAATCGTTTGTCTGTTTAAAATTGATTTACTTTTCGCAACCCGCAGTGCTTGACAAAAAAATAGGCTTAAAAAAATCTCTGTGCATGCACGCGTTAATTCTTTTATTAATAAAAAAATTCTTTTTAGCTGTTGAAAAGCATATAATTTTCAATTTTTATTTCCTTCATGGCGTGACGCATAAAAACATTGACACGCAGCATATACAGCTCAACTTGTGTAATTGCGTAGTTACTATGTAATACACGATAGAATCTTAGGCATAGACGCTTATCTCAAAATACATTGAATTGCTTAAAAATACTTAAATTCAGGTTGTTATCAGATTTAGGCATCAAATCTCGTGCTACATCCAGAAATTGAAAAAGAAAGTGTCTGAAAAGAAAACCACATTGAAAAAATTGTGTCTGCCTTAATTTTACTATCTTATCTCGTGAATATGAAGATGAAGAAGAAGCATCAACAACAAACAACGACACTAGTAAGGCTTTCTTATTTTCTATTACATACCATAGTGATT